TAGAGCATGTCAGGTTTTTATTGAAGCATATCCTGCGTTCTTGAAGTAGTTTCTGCATTGCTGGGGTTTGATGGTTGAGACGAGGTGTCCGACCAGGCGCCATGTTTCTTCGATCGTGCGTTGTTGCGCTATACGCATCCAATGCTTGATCTTGGCGAAGACCTGCTCGATGGGGTTGAGGTCCGGTGAGTAGGGCGGCAGGAACCATAGGCGCGCGCCCGCGGCGCGAATGGCGTCCCGCACGGCCTTGCTTTTGTGGCTGCCCAGATTGTCGAGAATGACGATGTCACCCGGCTTGAGCGTGGGGATCAGGACCTGCTCGACATAGGCGCGGAACGAGAGCCCGTTGATTGGGCCATCGAACACGCAGGGCGCCGTCAGGCCGTCCATGCGCAATCCGGCCAGGAAGGTCATGGTGCGCCAATGGCCGTGCGGCGCATAGCCCTTGAGCCGCCGCCCTTTTGGACCCCATCCACGCAGGGGCGCCATATTGGTCTTGATCCACGTCTCATCGATGAACACCAACCGCGATGGATCGAGCCAAGCCTGCCAGGACTTCCAGCGCTGCCGCTGACGGGCGACCGCAGCCCGAGCCTGCTCAAGCGCGAACAGGCTTTTTTTTAAAGCTCAGACCCTCGCGCCGGATAAAGCGCCATATGCTATCATGGGATACCTGTACGCCTTGTGCGGCCAAAAGCGCTTGCAGACCCCGCACGGTCAGGTGCGGAGTCTGCTGAAACTGTTCAAGAACAAATTGCCTGTGCGCATTGAGAATGACAGGACGCCGGCCACCCATTCGATCTGGTGTGACCGACCCCGTGGACCTCGAGCGTTGCGACCACTTCACAACCGAAGAAACCGCAACGCCAAAACGGGCGGCGACAGACCGGCAACTTTCCCCGGTGCCAACTGCAGCAACAACACGTTCGCGCAAATCATCGGAATAGGGCTTGATCATGGATGCTGGCCTCCAATCCAGCATCAATGATGAATCACATCCAAGCCGATTTGGGAATCCACAATCGATTCAATCAAGCTCAGACATGCTCTA